GTTATGAGAAAACAACAGTAGGCCTATTATAACATTTAGCATGATAGAGTAGGCTAATTTTGATAAATATTCCAGATTTTTTTTATTGTATAACAACATGCCTCACCTATTATATTAACTTACCCCGCATCCAGGGCATATTGTTACACTTGACTTTACTTCAAAATATTTACAAAATCTGTTATGTAACCAATTTTGTTCAATATAGAATACATAATTTTGATAAAGTACATATTTATTTTTACTTTCATTCGGTTTCAATGTATGATTTGGGTTATATCGCTAGATATTAAACTTTTTCTAAAAATCTTAACAACTAGCCCTGGTCTCCCCTACATCCTAATAATATTAGATATGATAATGATTTAACTACCACAGATAATTTATTAAAAATTTTCTTCCCTCATATTACTACTGAGAAACTATAAATAATAAAATATTTTTAGATATCATTGTGATAGATCTTAGATCAACCAATATTGTATGAAATAAATTCACTTGTAGAATTTTAGAATAAAATAAATGTGGTGTATTCATAACATATATGCTTTTGTTTTACTTTAGCTTTTGCTCAGAGATTTTTCACATTATAATTTAGAACTCTGCTATCAAAATAAAGTAAGTAAAAACTTGATTAGGTGTTTTAAGTGAAAGCTATTTTTGTGCAATTTGGAATTTAAATGAAACTATTCGAGTTTACAGTTTGTTTTAACTTTTTTTTTTTACATTTTCTTTTATTTTGGATCAAGAGATGTATTAAAGTTCAAATGGATACCTTAAAGAATAACAGTGAAGTATTTGATACACTATTAAATATCATTACTGTACTGTTAGAGTATGTGTGGAATTATAAACATAACTTATATATCATCCTCCTTCACAACTAACTTGAGTAAAATATGGAGTTAGAAGATATTTACAGGTTGACTACAATGTGGCATCAGAAATTGAATGTATGTTGTATTTGTGTAGCTGTCAAAAAGTTGACATTTTAAAAAACTATAGAAATACTAGACCAAACTATGTAATTATTTTTATCAGGTATTATGTAGAAATTGCTACCAGTTGTCATTATATTAGGTTAAGTATTTTAAGCGTGAGAGGACAACAAACAGGCATGGCACCCTACAGGCTGGGAAAGAGTTATCAATAGTATTGCACTCCTATTGATGGAGGGTTGTTGCAGGCTAATTTGCATGCTACAATGCAGCTGTCCCATGTGCAAATACGTGTAGGTAGGTGGGAGTGCAATGCTGGTGGCAAGTTACATTTTGCACATATAGAGGTAAGTATCTATTGGAAATATGTTTTCAGTGTAGGAAAATATTAACTCCTTACGTTTGAGTTTTCAGTAAATGAACATAAGAGTGGTTTAGTCTTGTCCACTTGGTAAGGATGTCCATTTTTACAAATAGAGCACCATGTTCCAAAAAAGTAATATAATTATGTTGTAACAGACATACTTTATAAACAAGGTATAATATGTAAAGGTAAGGAGATGAAAGTGAGTGAGACTGGATAGTGAAATAGACTTATTAGATGACTAGGTAACTAAGTAACATGATAAAGTGTACTATGTTTTAAATGGAGAAACTGAGGAATAAAAGGGAAGTTGTTTTATCTCAGCATGAATACTAGCTTTAAGAGATCAGATAATATATGGCTTTGTCATAATATTGGCAACTAGTTATTAAAGTCTGAGGGTGTATATGTGTAAATATGTACAGCAAGCAAACATATTCTGAAATACTGAAAAACTGAGGTAATGTAAATGTTTAGGAGGAGTTTGAGCTTCAAACAACTATCTTCTAAGGATAACATAGCTTTTAGCTACTTCACTAATTTCAGTTGTGAGAGAATGATGAAAATGCAATTTAAGGGTGCAATATAAAAGGATAAATTGCTTTCAGTTTAAGCTAAATGTTCAAAAACATATCTAAACTGATTATAAAAAGCATGTATTTATAAGGAGAAGCCAAGTAGGAGGGTCTTTCTCTTTTGTTGATTCCTTCAACTATGCTATAGATGAAAGCTTCTTCCTTGGTGAGAGAGCATCTATGTTCAGTGTCACAAGGAGTGGGAGGTTTACAGTATTAAGTATAGTTGATGGCCTCTCTCATGAGTGTTTGAAGACCTAGAAATATTTTATTGTCCAAGAAAGAATCTGTGAATCTCAGATCAGAATACTGTTTGTTAGTCTACGAGATCTTTGAATATAGTGAGAGAAGTTTAAAATGTTTTTGAGAAACTTCCTAACTTTCATTGTTTGCATTTCAGATTTCTGCTCTTTTTTTTAAAAGTTTAGAAGCTCAAAATTCTTAACTGTTTATTCTTGGTCTGTGTTTGCTAAACCGTTGGACAAGGATGTTTTAATGCTAAATAAATATAAGGATACAAAATAGGTAAATACACAATACCATGTAAAGTAATTTACAATAAAGCTTAAATCCACAGTAACGGAACAATACCAAATGTGTGCATTTAAACTTTATTGTAAATATAAGGGTATTTACAGATTCTGTCACTTTATAAGTGTGGTTATCTCCTTTTTTCAATGACTAAAGGCACTAATGAGGAGCTTGGGTATTTATTGTTTGTTTTTATACTTTTGGTTTTAAAACTAATGGATGACATTACTTGTTTTTCTTACAAGAAGAATGAGAATCAAGTCCTGGCTCCTGTCACCATGCACAGTCCTTCTCAGAACTTACCTGAAGACAACTGCAGATTAGAAGCTGAAAGGTAGGATAAAAAAATAGATTGTAATTGTTATCTAATAATAACAAATATTAATCCTAAATAAATCATTACACTTATGTGAGAATAGATTAATAAACATAAAAATGATTGAAAGCTGACTGGCACAACCTTGCCATAAATAACTGTACTAACCATATCAAGTATTAGATATTTTAATTTTAAAAGGTACCATTTTCAGGGTATGTTGATTTGGCTTAGCTGTTTCTGTGTTATACTATTTTCTTAAAGTGATATAAATCTAGCTGTTCCTTTTCAGCATTTTACTGCAACTACAGACACAAACATTTATTCAAAGTTCTATTTATTTTTCAGGTCACACTATGCTTAGAGCTGACCAATCTTAATTTTTTCTAGTGATAGAACACCACTGAAGTGAGGATTGAGAAGAGTTATTTGGTAAGTTGTTCTATAATGGTTTTTTCATGATTTAGTCTTTTACTGTGATTTTGTTTTTGTCTGCCAGTCTAAATTTGTAAACCTACATCGTTAATGTATAACTTAATGATGTTAATGTAATTTTAGAAAAACATTAGATTATATATTAAAAATCAGCATGTGTAGTTTGTCTATCTGTACAACCTTAGTTTGTGGTTACATACAGATAATACCAAATATTAAATTGCAAGATAATGTCATTGGAAATGCAATTAATTAAATGCATTGCATTGTTATAACTGTTATCTTGTGCAGAAGTAAGATGTAATCATGCTCCAGCTCAAAAGCTTGGAAAAAAAACATAAATGTACATTGAATGTTTGAAGTAAGAAATGTAAACATTGTAATTAATAAAATTTTTGTTTCAAATGGATGTTCAGAGATCAAAACAAAAGAATATATTTAGCAATGTAATTATTATTACTATTATTATTGGTTCAAGCTGCACAGAAAAAGTATATACATGTAACATCACTTTTTTAGCAGTTTTTACATAAATAATATTTTGTTTTACAAAACATATGAACAGGCACTTTTTCAACATAAATTTTTTAAAATAATATTTGGCAAGGGCATATGAGACAACTAGTGTGTCATATTTGAACTCTTTTAAGATTGTGACACAAGTATTTGAGAATAGACAACTTCTACTTGGTAGGATTCTTCTTGACTTCAAGATAATAAATCTGTTTTGCTGCTGCAATATATGAATATACCATGGGTTTTTATCATATCATAGTGTTATTATATTTATTCTGAATTAATCCTTGTTCTGAATCTTTCAGGTTTCTTGTTAAGTTGATCTTGTTTTAAGCTACCTTTGCTTCTTGATATTCTCAAGATCAGTTATATCATGATCATTGCTAACTGCAACCTTGTGTAAGGATTTTGTAAAAAAATTCCCCTTCAATGGTTGTTTAGTTAATACCAAGAGGTTAAGACCTGTGCCTAGCCACCATCCTTGTTAAAACTCCCATCTAATCTCAAGTGAATATGCATCACTGCATGATGGTGTAATAATACAACAGAACCCTCTACCAATAGGAGTGTGACACACCTCCATGAGTAGTGATTCCATCTACACTCGTGTGCTTGTAAATTCTCATTCTTTTCCTTGGCACTGTCGAGAACAGACTTGTTTAAGTTTGCTGAGATTTGCCACTTTTTAAAAATTTTTAACTTTCACTTGATTGAGCTCAGATATACTTAGTATGAATTCATATTTTCATGTGAACTCATCTGCTAATGTGAAAGAATATTGTTACAACAGCAGAAGTCACGTGATGCTGCTGGCACATTTGCACTGGTGGCGTGTGCGAGGAGTTTTTCGCTTGATCGTGACTTTCCTAATTTGTTTGGGACGCCCTCTTTTTGAATATATAAGCCCAGCAAATAAAAGTCAGAGATAGATAGATTGAAGAGATAGATAATTGAGTCAAGCGAACAGTAAGCACCGTATG